GACCCTCAAGTAAGCAGGCATGGGGGCTGGGGATCTGCCCCGCCTCTAGGGCGCACTGAGATGGCAACTGAGACTGGGCATGGTGGCAAATACCTGTAATTCCAGCTCTTGGGAGGCTGTAAACAGAAGAATCACTACACGTCTGATCTCATAGTGAGACTCTAACACCCTGTAGCCCTTTCCCTAAAATACCAAAAAAAAAAAAAAGACTATACAAAAAACCTCTAAATATACAACAAAGCCCATATCACAAAGGATACATAAATATTCATATGCCATAAAGTACAAAGTGGAAGAATTTATTGCTGAAAGGATGGCTCTTTGGACCATATTATAAGTGAAATCAATCAAACACAAAGGTTTAGGTAGCACATGTCTCTCTAGTGTGAAAAAACTGAAAGCATAAATGAGAACCATACTGTAGAAGAGATAGAGGGAAATGAGGAAAAATTGTTCAAAATGAGGGATAATAGCGAGGTGAGACTGAGAAAGGAAAGGAATAGAAAAAATGAGAAAAGGTTAAAATGGAAATAAAACTTTGTAAAGTGGAGGCAGACTTCGAAAGGTGAGGACAGGAATGGGAGAAAAACAAGAAACAATCTGGTGAATGTCACATTCTACAGAGGACTGTATGAAGAGTTGAACATAAGACTACAGAAGCTATCTGGGTTGAAAAGAGACATCTACATCTTCTAAAAGTTAAGTGAAGACGAAATGTATTGAAAAACACAGAATATACCAGATTAACTGAACCTTAAGGCTAGGCCTTTGGTCCTTTAACCTGCTCAATACCCATGCTCTGATCTGTATTTGTGGCAATTCATGTAACATGAAGTCAAATTCATAACAAAACACTGACTACTTCATGTACTTTTAAAAATTAGTTGATTACCTACGATATCCTGTTTTTGACAGAGCAGTGAGCTGTTACTTCTATCCATGAACATGAGAAAATAGTGTACCAGCTGTCACTAGTATGAAAAGGGAGAAAGCTTCAAAATAAAAAGATTTGTGTTATAATTTTATTTTGCTCTTTATTACTAAAAACTTAACTCAGCCCCTCATGCATATTATGAAAGGTAGTTTGGAGTGGAGGCACACCCTTAAATCACTATTCAGATTTTTAAAAGTCTTACTCAGTTAATCAGGCTATGCTTGGTAATTTCATGCTCCTGTCCAAGTTTCCCAAGTAGCTGCCATTAAACATGTGTACCACTGAGTTTCAGTGATGTTTACTTTACCTGTGCCCTGAAATCTTGGAAAATCATGGTAATTGAAGAACCCAGGCTTTAAACCAGCAAGGTGGTATCTGGCTGTGCTTCCAAAACTCATTGAGATATAGATTGGCACAACTTCTTCCAATCTTGGAAACTTAATTAAGATAGGGTTTCAAAAATTTAAAAAGGAGGAGGAGGAGGAGAACGAGAAAGAGAAAGAGGAAGAGGAGGAGGAGGAAGAGAAAACATTTGGGAGGATATAGCTGGGGGCAAAATTCCTGAGTTCCGTCCCAGTACAATGGAAAAGACCAAACATACCTTGAAATCTTTTCTATCCAAGAGAAACTCCGCGTTCTACATCACTGATGATGTGCACCCTATTTTGAGACCTTGAACACCAGTTCCTAATTTCTCCTTCTGCCTCAAGAATGATTAGATGAGCTCATCAGTACCCACAGAAGTTACATTTATCTATTACTAAGTTCTGCTTTCTTTAAACTTGTGACCTTAGGCCCAATCCTAGAAAAAGCCAGCAAATAGGCCTTCATTTATTGTAATTGTATAAATAGACTAACTTCTTGAAATATTTACTGCTGTAGTTGCTAATTTTTAGCATCCTCTGAAATCCTGTTCTCTTATTAATCTAATACTATCCTGTCTTCTTTCCTCATCAGAAAACATTGTCATTCTATCAATTCATAAGCCAGCAGATCTCAACTATGAGAATTTACCCCTACTCCAATACTTACTGTATATAGACATATCATTTGGGTTTTCTTTTTAAAAGTGTCTAGGAATAGACCCAGAGCTCAGGCCCAGTGAGTGAGTGAGACGACCCAGGGCTGCGGGATCCTGAATAGACCCAGAGCTCAGGCCCAGGGAGTGAGTGAGTGAGTAAGACTGGGGCCACTGGATCCTGAACAGACCCAGAGTTCAGGCCCGGTGAGTAAGTGAGATGACTGGGGACACGGGATCCTGAATAGACCCAGAGCTCAGGCCCAGTGAGTGAGTGAGAAGACTGGGGCCGCCGGATCCTGAATAGACCAGGAGCGCAGGCCCAGTGGGATCCTGAACAGACCCAGAACCCTGGCCCGGCGAGTGAGTGAGACGACCCAGGTCCCGCAGATCCTCATTCGACCCAGAGTGCAGGCCCAGCATGGAACCCTTCAGCAGAACTCCCTGCAAAGAGGCTAGAGGCAAGACCCACCCAGCTGATTCAGGAGCAGAACATCTTGCCAGAGTGACACACAGGGTTCA